GAAGACTTATAGATTTTGTCACCACTAACAATATTTCGCTTTTCATATCGTAAAACAAATAGATACCTATAAAAATCGCTCACAGAAAAAGTCGAAATAGGCTAAGAACATCAGACTTACTCGGCTGAGTCCAGTGCACCACGTTTTTGATGTTACCGGCATTTTGACGTCATCTGTGAGCTATGAATAAACGGACGCACTGCAATATAGGCTACGTGTTTGGTCGACCGTGAAACTTTTTCAAATAATGGTTTTAATAAGGTATCAAAGCCACAAAGATATATTCGGAAAGAGCAAAAGCGGAGCGTAAGTGATTAAGGACGGAGAAGTTACAAAATGCGGTCACCAAATGCAAAAAGCACGATGTAGCTCCTTTAAAAAATTTGGCGATTTGGCCAACTACAACTACCCGAGGAAACGCTTTTTAATCTTATTCCCTTTTTGTGTTTATTTTATTGAACACAGTACAAAACCAAGAGGAAGTTGAGAGCGCTGACGATAGTGAGGATGAATCGCAAGAAGAACAAGGAAATGGTGAGCAACATGCAGGATCAGGCGAAGACAATGAACAACCTACTGAATCCCAGCAAGTTGACCATGAACAAGACGAAGAACCAAAACAAGAAAAAGAAGAATCTACTGAAGCGCAGAAAGTTGAATGTGAAGAAAACGAAGAACAAAAACAAGGCCGAAAAGAACCCACTGAACAGCAGCGAGTTGAACGTAAACAAGACGAAGAACCAAAACAAGGCCAAGAAGAAGCCACAGAACAGCAGCAAGTTGTAGGTGAACAAGACGAAGAACCAAAACAATGCCAAGAAGAACCCGCTGAACAGCAGCAAGATGAATCTAAAAGAAACGAAGCACCAAAAGATGACCATGAAGAACCCCCTAAAAAGCAGGAAGTTGAACAAGATCATCAAGCAGATTCAAAGGGAAAAAAAGAAGTAAGTGAAACGCAACGAGAAAAACAGGAGCTAAATAAAGACGATGGAAAACCTGAGCGAAAGCTAAAAGGATACGACCAGGAATCCAAACAACCGGGCACTCAAAAAGAGGAAGAAGAAAAAGAACCGAATGTCGACCATGCAGAGCCTGATGAGCTAAAAGATGAGGGTAAACAGAAGAAAAAGTCGAAAAGAAATGAAAAAGAAAGTGAAAAGCAACAAGAGCAAAATAAAAAAGATGAGCAGGAGCAAGAAGAACACCAAGAAGAAACCGAAAAGGAGCAAGTTGATTGTGATCAAGAAGAACGAGAACAAGACCATGAGGATCCTAAACTCGAGCAAATTGGACAAGGAAAACCAAAAGGAGAAGATGAAGATCCTAAGAAAGAGCAACAGGATTATGAACAACCAAAAGAAGGCCATGAAGAACCTATGAAAGACAAACTGCAGCAAGGAAAACCAAAAGGAGAGAATCAGGAACCTAAACAAGAGCAACTGGAAACTGAAAAGCCAAAAGGAGAGTACGAAAAACTCAACCAAAATCAACTTGGAGACGAGAAGTCAAAAGAAGCTTGTGGAGACTCCCAACCGCAGGGTGATGGGTCCACGGAAGATAAATCTTCACGACAGCAGCAGCTGGTTATGGACGAAGGTATGTTTTGCCACCCTCCATTTTCGCCAAAATTTAAAGTTTTGGAGTATAAATTTCTCACTTATCAGTCTGGGTAAAGGAAATATTCTTCAATACTCAAAAACTCTTAGTTATTTGTTTCAAGCGACAAAGTTAACTAAAGTATCATGATAATGAGTTACTTTGTTATTCAACAGGACATTACGAAGAAGATGATATGGTGCTGGATACACGTCTGTAATTGCTAGCATTGACTCATCAAATCCTTTTTAGTTCTAAGTATCGTTTTAGTAACAGAAAGGTTACATACCGTTATATCATGAAAATGATGCATTTACTTAATCAAGAGCATTAGAGAATAACTCATATAAGGTATGACAGTGACAAGTGCGAGCCCGCAATGTTTGTTTTCATTTTTTGATTGTCTGAGTTGTTGTAGACAAGTAAAAACAGCTACAGGAGAAAGGAAGTTAGTATGGTATGCTAAATAGATAATCGTAAAAGCATATTTACGGCCGTGTTGCGTTTCCAGTGTCGTCAGAAGTTTCCGCAACTGATTTTATTTCAATATTATTAGATTTCTTACTACTTATAAACATTATTTAACTATTTATTCAGCATTCAGTTGCATATATTACTCGTTATTTATTGACTTTAGTCCTAGCATGTTATTTGGTAGGTGGCTTAATTGTTATCACAATGCTACGCCACTAATCGTATTTACTCCACTGCACACATATATCAAAGTGCACAGGTCAGATAATGTATTATCATCTGGCTCCTTTATTTATTAACCTTTGTTGTTAACCTACGATTTAAGTTAAAATTTTGTAGGAGCTTGCACAAAAATAGAAGAAAAAACTATCACAGGAGTGAAACCCAAGTGAGAATGTTATAAAAAGTGTGAAACGTTTCATAATTTATTGTCAAGCCATTTAGTGTCTAATTTAAAAAAAATATAAAAAATTTCAGCTCATTTTTTTGTCTTCTAATAATTGAACCTTACTGGAGTTCAATCGCGTAAAGAGTATCTAACTAGAAGATCACCTTTGATGCTGGAAATCGATTCAGTTGCTGGAGGATTGTTCAAATAAGTTGAATATAATACAGGACGTGAGCTCCAGAGAAAGGTTTAAATTCAAGCACAGAAATGGTAGGAGAAGTTGAATGAAAAGATTCCATCAACAAGCTTTCTTGTATCTCCATAAATTTTTAATGAAGGTCATGCACTGTGGTCTCTTCTTCAACCACCAGGATCCCACTCTTCCTCACCCCTTGGACATTCAACAATTTTCCATTCCCCTCGCAGTACAAGTAATGATCTGGAATTAAACCTTTGGTTTTTTCGGTTACAGGGAGATAGTACTTACCCTTGTCTCCCGGATATACTCTTTCTCCAGTCATACGACGAGTTAAAAAATCACACACGTCTAGTAAACAAAACGGTTTTCTGGTTCTACGGATATATTACAGAGCGTAGTAAAGCAGTACCCTTGGACTTAGTCATTATTTTGGAAAGTCGACTGATTAACACTTTGAGCTTGAGGAACCAAAATAGACAGAATTTCCCTTATGACTGTTTATTGTAAATTATTGATAATACTTTCACAGAAGATGAAACAGTTGGATTCCCTCTTGGACATATAAAAATCAACCCAAGAAGTGTTGCGGAAACAGGCAGAGCAGGAAATGGTCGTTAAGAAATGTAGGAACAAGGTTGACTGTATGACTGATGAAATGAAAACGATACAAAGAATTACTACAAAGGATGCTACGCCTAAACAAGTGTGTAATAGATTAGCTTGAACTAACGATTCGAGTGTTAAATTCAATAGCTTTTCTTACTGTTTAAACAGGAAACACTGATCAGTACCGTAATGATTTGATTTGGCGCCCTCGTGTCAAAAGCGCCCCTTCTCTAATAAGCATCCCCTCCAATAAGCACTCTCTCTAATAAGCACCCCCTCTAATAAGCGCCCCCTCTCTAATAAGCACCCCCTTTAATAAGCGTCCCCTCTCTAATAAGCACCCTCTAAGAAGGGCCCCCTCTAATAAGCACCTCCTTCGAATTCGTTTTTGTTAATAAGCGCTGTTGTTCTAATAATCACCCTTACCGAGTATGAAACGCCCTCATTGCAATAAATGCTCCAACACCAATTAGCGGCACTATTCTGTTTCAGTGATAGTACTGTTAGTGTACCTGTAAATTCAGATCGAAGGTGGTTCATCTTCCTTTAATTGTTTAATTACTTACTTTACACTTTATTATACAAAAACAGTAGTCTTCGTCTCAGTCTCTCAACTATAATTTCCATGTGTGTGCACAGTTCCTTCAAACGAATGAGTCGATAGCTTGCGGCCAGATTACTATGTTGATTTTGAAAATAGCAGCGTCGATAATCAACTTCTTACCCGTTGATTTTTTTTTTGCTTTGAAATCTGAAAACACGGTAGTAGAAATGTAATTTTTAAATACACTGTTGTAAGAAAAGTTCTTTCAAGAAGAATAGACAGTATTGTTGTCTTTCCACTACCGTCATCAAACCAATGATCATCAAAAAAGTAAGTCTATAATAGCTGGAACGGTTCTTTTAAACCTCGTCTATCAGCTTATCTATCATACTCATGCCCAAGTACTCACGTGATGTACGCCCCTGAACGTACATCACTTAGATGCATTTTGTTGAAAGTGAATCATAAGAATGATTTAAATCTTATTTCTATTCAAAAGAGTCCAAAATAACTTCGAATACTTGTGGAATATTTGGAAAGCGGCTCTAAAGTTCTGGATGCTTTCGATTTGTAAATCCGGAGTAAAATCTTGAAATACATATTTCGGATTTTGCAGTATTTTCGACGCTGAAAAATCTTTCCCTAAGGTGGATTTCCATTAAAAAATTCAAAGCTAATTTTTTTTTCCTTTTAAAGCCAACGGTTAACCACATCGAGACCCCTCCTAGAATAGATCCTTTTGGGATTTCCCGGAAGAATACAAAACAGATATCCATGAGATCCGGAGTTGGATATCTTAATTGAGATCCATTTTGAGGATGGATTTCTCAGCGTTGAAAGTCGTTTTTGGATTTCATGTTTTAACGCAAAATCCGAATTCCCGATTCCAAAATCAAAATCCAGATTCGTCGGAGTTAAGCACCCAGATTTCCTTTAACATAGTGTCTTCTTTCTGATTGGCCTAGACTAGCTCTCAACCCAGTTTCTTAGCAGTCACATTCAAAATGGTGGACGAGCTGCCGTGAATTTAGAATTGAAAGAGTCGATGTCGCACTGAATAGTCAGTTTATTTCGACAGTTTTGTTACATTTGATGACGGATGATGATGACCAATTCTAAAAACTCGTCTAATCTTCACTTTGTACATCGGATATGTAAAGTAACGTCTTTCTACCATGATGAAATTCTAATGTTTACAAGGAACCCCTTGACAGGTGAGAGATCTTCAAAGAACTTTGAACCAATTCAGTGTCATTGAAATGTATCTTATTACATAGGAATGTTACTTAGTCATCCTCTAACAAATGTTGCACTGATCACGAAGGAATGGGGTGATGGACAAAACAATGTCCTCCAGTCCATGGACTTAACCCCGTTGGACAACTCAAATGAACTACCCTAACATGCACCAACCCTTCGATTTAATTTTTGTTTCGTTTTCGTTAGTTACAACAAACAGCGAGAAATTTAGATTCAAAATCCTCTCTTCGAAATATAGCGTGATCCAAGTCATGTTACATTCTTTGATATTGGTCACGAAGGAGAGAAATCGATGATATTAAATGTCCTTCAGTATGTAGATTGACGCAGATAGAAAATGTATTTTCCATGTACATCAGTTGGCATGGCTATGTTTGGAAGGAGATTATATTTATAGGACTTGCACACCCATTTTAAGCCGCATTGTAAACATATTTACGGTCTAGAAGGGCAAAACTTTTTTTTCTTTTCATTTTTTCTGATTTTATTGTGCTAAATGAATTTAAGATTCTATCATGGTGATTTATTGCCAGAATGATTGCTTATCACAGGCTCTTAAGCATTAAAATAAGAGCTAAAAAAAATAATAGAAGGTTAATCCCTTTTACAAAATTCAAATTTTTGATTGGGTTCTTCAAAGTTGACCTCAAAGGCATAATTTAATGTAAATTGGCCAATTTGTCTCATCAGATTTTTAATTGAGCTAAGTTAGACATTGAGAAACCTAAGTTTCAGTTGTGTTCTGCAGGCATCAAGTGGTCTCCCTGGAATTTTAAGAGAAAAGCCAGAAATTGTAATTGTGTGACTTTTGGAATATCTCACCAAAATATCTTTTGCAACAAGTTTCATCATAATTACACAAAGAGATTTAAGAATGTTTGCTATTTATAAACTGTGTGGTGTAGGAAATGAATTTGAAAAGAAACTAAAGGAATCTTAATTTGTAGATTTTCTTTTAAAATGAAGAATTTGCGGTGAATTAGAACAAGTAACAGATTGTCTCTGTTATTGAGTACCTTTTAAACTATAACAGAAGCACTTTGCTTGAAGATTATGGTAACCTTTGTTTTTCTTTGCAAGATAATTTACCAACTGACATGATTTATTTTGGGTGAACAAATTAAAACTGAAAAAAAAAAAAAGGATTCAGTGTCTTTTTTGTAAAAGACATTAATTTCATTAAGGTGATTCCTCTGAAAAAATATTTATGGAGCAATCTTCTTGAAACTTTCTTTAAATGTTCCTTGCAAATGTGTGTTCTAAAAAATTGCATTAATTTTAAAAGAGATAAGTCACCATGCTTATTTAGGAGATACGATGGGCCAAACATACCCCAATTACACCGTCCTGTACTGGAACTAATCATGTGTGTTCTTTCATTGGTTCACTGTACATTTTGCTGCAAGTGGAAGCTAGGGTTTTTTAAGTAACCCTTGAAAATAACTTGACACAGTAGGTTGAAAGTTTGGAGGATTAATAGAACAATTTGATATATAATTTGTGGGAAAATCAGGCAAATTTAAATGACATAGACTCAAAATGTTCCCTGAGTCATTCCTTTCAAGATCATAATTTGAATCCTCGAGTAAAGGGCTAATTTGTGCATGCTTTTAGCCTTACCTTTTTTGCCCTTTGGAGAATTTTTTTAAAATCCCCAATTTAAAAGGTAGAACAAAATTATGCCATAAAAAGTATAGGTCACTGTGCTAGGAGAAGTACCCAGCAATGAGAAAAGATAGAGTAAAATATAATACATGTAACATGACTTTCCTGGCACATTGATGGTCTTATTTTGAAAGATAGGTTTTTTAATCCTAGTGCTCAATTGGACTTGGTTCAAGCCCAGTTTTTAAACAGTTTCAAATAAAAAGTAGTCTGCAAATGATCTTTGTAGTTCTCCTTGAGCCTTCATTTTAATACTAACAGCTTGTATCTTGATATATGTAGAATATTCTTACAAATGTGACATTCATGTGAATTTTGCCAGCATTATTTGGAGGCATTTTGGCTTAGTGGTTAGGTCACTGGACTTTTACTCTTGTGGTCTCGGGTTCAGCTCTTCACCCTGTTGCTCACTGGATTTGTAACTCCCAGGCTGCACTTTGTAAAAAGCTAACTGGCTTGCCCATGTCCAAAATATCGCAAATTGTCAATAAGGATTCTTACCTCAGATAACCAAGGGAATCATTGGTAAACACATGTTAAATTAACTCAAGACGTGTCGTGGGAATAGTAAGAGCAAGAAATGGCAATTAAGAAATGTAGGAAAAAAGTGGACTGTATGACTGATGAAATGAAAATGTTTCAAAGAATTACTTCAGAGGATGCTATGCTGAAACAAGTGAATAATAGGTTAAGTCCCGCCATCTTGTACACCTGAAAAAAAATCAATGAATAAAAAATAAAAATAAAAAATTTGCTATTGAAACTCTTTCTTTTCTTATATATATATATTTTTTTTTTTCTGTTGTCCCCAACACTGTCATAAAAACTGCCAGGAGAAAATGTTTGCTGTTAAAGAAGGGAAAAGGAAGAAATAAAACTGCAATCCTGCCTTATCAACGCGCATTTATACAGTCAAAAAGAAGTTACATGTCAATATACATGCCAGTTGGCTACTAAATTTTCTAATAAAATTGATTTTTTTCCAAGGCATAGAGATGGTTTCTGTGAAAACGCCGTGGTCAATTTAGCAATTGCAAAGAAAGTTGAAAGACTGCTGATTCACAAATTCATTTGAGCCATATTTGAGAAACTTCTTCATTGACTTACAGAGCTATTGTTCTCAACTGAGGCCCTTGACCTATTGTCAGAATTTTAAAATAAAAGATTTTGATTTATAAATAAATCAACATTATTACTTCATGATCTCTTGATCGACATAGGTTTCATGTGCAGCATCCTCATTCATTTGTGTACAACCTCCTTAACTAAATCTTTCCAGCTTGTTTGGTTCGTTGCTCAATCTGAGACTACATGAGAGCACTGTCCAAAGAATCATTACTTTCATATTGTCTTTCTAAATTGTTTGTTTGTGTTTGAAGATATGTGAAGAGAAGCCCTGATGTCAGGGAATTTGTTTTCAGATTTCCTTTAACCAACTTAAAGATATCGGCTGAACGGAAATTCCATCTCTAGTTTTAAAAACCATATAATTTTCGTCTAAGGTAGTAGGAAGTACATTATTATGAGATAATGACATTGACGGCGCTTTATGATTTTCAGATTTCTCTTACCAGCATAAGGATATCAGCTGAATGGAAATTCAATCATCAGTTCCAAAAAAACGTGTAATTTTCATCTCAGCTAATGAGAAGTACATCATTATGAAATGATGACATTCCCCACGCCTTGTCTCCCAATGATGATCTGCCTTAACAATTAGATGCTACAAAAAATATATATTTTTGATGCGAGAGATGATTAATTTTTTTCTTTTTTATGGTCAGAGCAGTAGCTGTTTGTGAACCGCTCAATGTGGTTTTCGCGAGTCGACAGCTTGCGGCCGGATTACTAGGTTGATTTTGAAAGTGGCGGCGTCGATAGTCAACTTCTTACCTCTTGATTTCTTTTGGCTTTGAAATCTGAAAACACGGTAGTAGAGATGTAACTTTTAGATGCACTTTTGTTGGCAAAGAAGAGATCACTCGGTTTCAGTTCCTTTAGGAAGAATAGTCGATAATAGTTGGATCGGTTCTTTTAAACCTTGTCTATTGGCTTCATTGAGATCCACTTTAAAGATGGATTTCTCAGCATTGAAAGTCGTTTTAGGATTTCATGTTTTACCGCAAAATCCGAATTTCCGATTTCAAAAAATCCAGATTCGTAAGAGTTAAGCACCCAGATTTCTTTTAGCACGGCGTCTTCTTTCTGATTGGCCAAGATTAACTAAGTCTCGACCCAGTTTCTTAGCAGCTACATTCAAAATGGCGGACGAGTTGCCGTGAATTTACAACTGAAAGAACCAATGTCGCAAGTTGGAGAGTCGGTTTCTTTCGACAATTGTGTTACATTTGATGACAGATCACGATGAATTGTTCTAAAAACTCGTCTCGGCTTCACTTTGTACATCGGATGTGTTAAGAAACTTCTTTTTACCATGATGAAATAATAATGTTTACCAGGAACCCTCACAGGTGAGAGATCTTCAAAGAACTTTCAACCGATTCAATGTCTATGAAATGTATCCTATTACATAGGAACGTTACTTACTCATCTTCTGAAAAATGTTGCACTGATCACTAAGGAATGGGGTGATGGACAAAACAATGTCCTCCAACTCAAATGAACTACCCTAACATATGCACCAACCCTTCAATTTTTTTTTCTTTCGTTTTCGTTAGACACAACAAACACCACGAAATATAGAGTGGTCCAAGTGATGTTACATTCTTCAATATCGGTCCCGAAGTAAGCCGAGAAATCGATAATATTTAATGTCCTCTAGTATTAACATAGATTGACGCAGATACAAAATGTATTTATAAGACTTGCACATCCATTATAAGTTGCACTGTATACATATTTATGGTCAAGAAGGGCAAACCCCCCGCCTTTTTTTTCTTAACTGATTTTCTTATTCCTAATGAGTTAAAGATTTTATCATTAAAATAAGAGCTCAAATTTAAAAGAAGGTTAATCCCTTTTACAAAGTTCAAATTTCTGATTGTGTTCTTCAAAGTTCGCCTAAAAAGCATTTAAATATACACTGGCCAATTTGTCTGGTTGGATATTTAATTTAGCTAAAATAGAGATTGAGAAACTGAAGTTTTAGTTGTGTTCTTCAGGCATTAAACATTCTCCCCTCAAATTTTAAATTAAAAGGCTGA